TAATTGACTCTAAAAAATAATTAATTTAACAGCATTTTTTATCTATATAATCTTATTAATTATATGATCGTATAAATCGATAAAATTACATTAAAGAATTAGTTTTTTTAAATCTCCAAGCAATAGGCTATAATGGTACTTAATCGTCGTTATATAATAAGTAAGACGGGTACAGGTTGCACCAAGGGATAACTTCGTCACCCTGCGAAGAATAAAAACATGTACTCAGGTTCTTTTTCAGGATTATCTCTGACAATATTTGATAATAGAACAATAGAATATTGATAGAATACTGTATGTTTGAGGTTCCTATTTTAACAAATAAATTTTTAACAGACAATATGAGTTAAAATTTAGATACAAGGATATTATGATTGACACTATTTTTTTGTTAACAAATGGCTATTATAGATTGATTAAAATCATAAGATAAATCCTGAGTATCATTTTATATGTCTAACAAATAAATGAAAATTTTGGATCAAAACATTAGATCGTTTTAAGACAAAAATTTCATGTTTTGAATTTCCGTGCTAGTCATATGTCGCATCATATGATTAACACAGAAGATGCAATATCGTAAATAAAATGTTATTAAAAACCTGTATACTCCCAGTAAACACAATGTTACATGAAATGTCAATTCAACAAGATAACTGTAATATAACACAGTGTATTATATTATCTTGTTGAGCTGACATTGCATGTTATATTTACGTTACATTGTATTTACTGGGCTGATAGTATCAATATATATTCATTTAAAGAGTAGGTAGTTCAAAACTAAATGTAAAATGTATTGCATATATTCAGATTCAACATTATCCATTGAAATATACCAAACTAAGAATACGTTTTCCGTTTTAATCAGGGTTGGTACGAACAGTATCAGCCAGTGTGGTTTTTTAATTTGGTTTTAATCGCCCTGGTCAAAATCGATTTTGAGCAAAATTTAATTTTATTTTTCCTTGCATTATGTTATTAACATACTTTTTAAACTAGCCGAATTCAGAGTTAAAATAGAGAGAGGTTAAAATCAGTTTTGACCACTGGCTGGATCAAAATAAAAAAGGAATGGACATTTGCCAATCCTGGTTATATCCCCGACGCATTTTATTTATTAAAATAGATATTAAAAGAATTGATATTTTATAAATGTCAGAAATGTATAAATCATATAAAATTTTTGAGGCAATAAGACTAATAATAAACAAATACTTTTGTATAAGTTTGTATTATTGTCAGTTACTGTTTCGACAGGATATCTGACATTTCGTATATTTATTTTGTAATCTATATCGTATGTACCAAAATATGAAATAAAATGTAACTTAATAAATTTTAATAAAATATAAAAATATGTTTTTATTATATATGTATCGTTATAACGAAAACTCGTCGTTCTGTTCATACGAACTATAAAACTTTTGTATTAAGGAAACATCCACATGTCGGACAACTCTATGAGTTGAATTAAAAATAAAAGTTTTTAACTTTTTTTTATTTTAGTATAAAATAAAAAATTCACTGCAGCATTTTTCAATTTTACGTCTAATATTTTAATCCTGTAAAAGGATTTTTAATTCCGTTCTGTAAATTCGAAGATTTTTATCGATTTCAATGTCTTAACAATCACTCCTTTTAAGTAACGAATGCATTTTACAGTATGTAGTAGCAAGGATAAATAGTGTGAATCTAATTAGCGAATCATCGATAATTTGCATTGAAAAATGCGGCAACAAAGGTTGTATTATAAATTGTTTCATTATATCAGTGGCCTACTTTACACGATAGAGACTCTTTAATAAAGCTGCATTCCGTTGCACGCATAATGCGCCTAAGATATCATTTTACCTTTGTTGTTCGCAGAGTATTGATTGTGTATCTTGACACGTGTGAAAGTTATAGAATTGAGTAAATTTATTAGATACCAATGAAATTATAAATATTCTGGTGAACTTATTCATTTTCGTAATTTTAACTTCGTTTCAAGATACACAATCAAATCTTTAAATTTTAAAAATAATTTTGTTAAAAAAAAAGGTGTTAAATTAAACAATTCTTCTCGCATGCATTATTTCGACACATAAATGTAAAGAAATTTATTTGTTAACATCTTTAAAATATTTAATTTTAATTATATTGTTGACATTTAAAAGTAACGCGAATAAGTAAGCAAATATAGAGCGGGAATTTCTGAAACAATGTATCAATGAATCGCGCGACTTTCTCATGTCGTGACTCTTATTATAGGATCAAATACAAAATAATGAAATTAATATTATTAAATAAAAATTGATTGATTAAATACACATATGTGAAAATATTAAGTCAAAATGGTTTTCCATGCTTATAATAATACTGTTTGTGAATTTATCTGTACAATTTCCAATTTATGCAAACTGTGTACCAATTATTTCTTGAACAGTCCTGAACCGAAGCTGAAGCAGTAACACAAATTAAGTTGACAAGTAATTTAATATTATTGATGCTTTGATCCAAGTTCGAATCTTGGCTGAAATAATATTGTTTGCAATAAAATTTACAGGTTTTTAAAAATGCTTTATTATTACCATCAATAATATTAAATTGTTTGTGACAATTAATTTGTGATTATTATTCGCGAGTAGTGCATCTCCATTGACAAAGGCCCGCGGTGAAGACGCATTAACACTTAAATAAGAATCATATAAGAAAGAATATAAAGAGCACAGTATTCGATTTGTGAGAAGAGCCTTCAAAATTGAACTTCCAAGGTGAAAAAAACATAAAATGTTTATGACAGTAAAATTTTATTTAAAAATTAATTCACCGGATCTGAAATTTTTAGGAAAATTATAATTTTGTAGAATATACAGAGAACATTCTCCGAATATGAAACGATGTATGAATAGAACATTTAACGATTATTTGTTGCTTTTATATTTTGTAAATATTTCGGAATATTCCGGAATATTCTTGAAATGTTGTGTTGGGATTTTAGAAACATTTTACACATATTTCAAGAATATTTAGCGTTAACTGGATTAACTTATTTGTTTATCATTATTTTAATTATGAGGAGCCCTAGTTAGTTTAATTAATAGAATTATAAATTACTTGAATCCAAAAATATAAAAATTATGACAGCATTTTATACGATGACATGATTAGAATAAAAATCTTACTACACCCGATGCCTTTATGCAATCAAATGTCGGCCATTGTTTATGCGATTGATGCTGGTCCCGGATAATTCTGCGACTGCGTGTTTGGCTTCGCTGATACTCGTCGATAACTATCCGTACGATATATCAGAATGGCGTGAACGTGTTGCAGCAGGTACGTATTCTATCCAACAAGCAGACTTGAAGATTACTTTGGAAATTATTACTACATAATAATAATGATCTAAATTTTTTAGCTTTTAGAATCAGCAGTGAAACTTCAACATTCTGTAGAAAAAAAAATTTTGTATATTTATAAATTTTTAAATCATGTTTTCCACTTCGTATTTTTGAACCTTTCATATTTTTGAAACACTTTTAAAATACTAAATATTATTTTATTAAATATTATATAAAAAAACACATAAAAAGAAATTTGGAAACAACGTGATGGAAGTTATTGATCGCACTGCGTATAGTGTTTGAGAGTTAATCTTATCGACAGAAGTACCATACATGCTTTAAGCACTACGTGCGCAGCTTTTGTAGGATAAAAGTTAAATTAAGTTAGAGTTTAATTAACTTTTGGCCATAATATTTCGCTTTTTTCTTTACCACGACTTTCAATCCCGGATCATTAGGGCGCAGACCGAAAGTAGTTGAGATCTCATTTTTCATCCCGTTAACGTCGAAAATTCGCGACGCAGAAATTAACTGGTACTTATTAATGACGCGAATAGACGATTAATAGACTTTGTATATATCTTTTTGTTATTTTGCCTTACTTCTTCACGTTAAATAAAATGGATGATTAGGATAAGAAAGACATCAGCTTAGATTTCATGTATAACTGTGTATGTATAACTGTGATAGTGTTAGGGTCGTACAATGATCTCCGAACATGCCAATTAAAGATGAGGAATTTGCGAGCGGGGCTTTATTTCGAGTATGCGTACTCCAAAATTCATCGGAGATGATCCTGTGCAACGAATTGATTTACGATCGCGCACATACGCACCAATGTGATCCATGCGTGATTGAGATGCGAGGGAAGTTCCGTTTCTTTCATCGTGTTCGAACCACATGAGAAACTGCTTCCTTTTCGGAGCGATAAATAATATAAATAATATAAATTTCCTAATTTATATAAAATTTATTGATTTTTTTGAAAAATATCGTATTAATTATTTTTTTACATATAAATGATATGGATTTCGCGCGATATACATATATAGACCATCGACATAAATCAAATCGATCTAAAACGGTAGCGACAGCGTCTTTAAAATAAAAATTAAGCGAAAATGTTATAAATTATAATGTTATAAATATTAACTTATAAAAAAATAATTGATACGATATTTTTCAAAAAAAAAAATCAATAAATTTTATATAAATTAGAAAATCTGCAAGCGGAAATACTCAATCGCAAGGTTGTGTTCCGGGAAAAAAAAAACATTTTCTATAATTCTTAGATAAAAATTAATCTAATATACATTTGTGTGTGAGGCACTTGTGGGCTAAAAGTGAAGAGGCGAGGCAAGCGGGAAATGACACGACACAACGCGACGTTACTCTCGTGGATGCATCCGCCCCTGCAGCCGTCGGTGCCGCCGCCGTCGCCGCTACCACCGCCACCGCCACCGCCGCCGCCCCCGCCCCCCCCC